CTTATAATAAGTTTACTCTTCATTTTTTTGATATTATAATATTACACCTTAAAGGGGAATAGTTGTTTTTGGGTTAAGCCAAACAATAAATAATTCGTAATAAATAAATATGAAACTCACTTCTTTGAAAATTGAACCTCAGATCTCATAATTACAAGTAAAAGAAAATATCAAGTGCTAGTAGCAATAATCAAGAACCTTAGGTGACCGAAAAAATTAAATCTTTGTCCAAAAGGGCACGAGTAAACTCAAACAATGCTTCCTATGGAAGATAAGTATCCCGTAATAAGATTTTTTTACTTAAAGTCACTTTCATGCTTTTTAATCCTACTCGGCTCGACAAATCTTCGTGATTTTGTACGTTCGGCCTGGTACAAAGGCTTGGATCAGAATTGGTAAAAACTGTAAAAACAAATATGCTGACTCCATTTCTTACTGCTGACCATCAAGTTACTCTTTGATTATCAATGTAAGTTTTCAGTTACATGAAAAAAAAAAAATGTTTGTCGTACCAGCATGTGCCGCGAGCCAAACAAAATTGGAAAATCTTGGATGTAAATATCCTTGATATATATATATCAACTGGGTGTAGAAACTCCCCCATTAAACCGATGGCGGGTACTCCTCAAACAATTATTTTATTACATGTTCTGGGATGAGGGAGAGTTTGAACTCAATATGCCAGTTCAAATAACTATCTTGAAATTAATAGATTTTAAAGCCTTAATAAATTGGTTTTTTTTTTTTTACAATAATGTTAGTGAATTAAATTGTTTGTTGTTAGGGGGGAGAGAATTGAGTGGAAATTGAACCTGCACCAAGGCGCATATATGCATAATTGCTTTCCACCACTACTATAAAGCACCATCTGCTAAATTAATTCTCCCTAACCTTTATTGTTATCACGTTATGTATTAAATTAGTTCACTCCATTTAATTCTAAAGAAGAAAAATGTTAATGCAATCTAACATTTTGTTTTCTTTTTTTTTTTTTGCTTTGTTCCTCTTATTTTTCATCCGAAGTATTCATGATTTTTTTTTTTTTTCGTGTATGTACTCAGGTGGTCGTTGATTGCTGGAAGACTTCCAGGAAGAACAGCGAATGATGTGAAAAATTATTGGAACACTCGATTACGGATCAATTCTCGCATGAAAACATTGCAAAATAAATCCCAAGAAACGAGAAAGACCATTGTGATCAGACCTCAACCCCGAAGTTTCATAAAAAGTTCAAATTACTTGAGCAGTAAAGAACCAATTATAGACCATATTCAATCAGAAGAGGATTTAAGTACGTCATCACAAACGTCGTCGTTGACAAACAATGGAAATGATTGGTGGAAGACCTTGTTAGAAGACGAGGATATACTTTTGAAAGAACTGCATGTCCCAGTCTTGAGTTAGAGGAAGAACTCTTCACAAGCTTTTGGATTGATGATATGCAACAGTCGGCAAGTTCATATGTTAATTTTCCTGACGAAGGACAAAGTAGAAGTGATTTCTCCTTTAACAGTGGACCTTTGGAATCATTCAAAGAAGAATAGCTAAAAAGATGATTCTCAATTCTTCAGTACCATTTTAGTTTGTATGCTATTATTTTCCTTGCTCGTACTATTTTAGTATTGTTGTATGAATGGAAAAAAAAATAAATAAATAAAAGCTCCCACCTTAATTATTAAACATCTGTAAAATATTGATATCTTTATTTGTAAAAATCACATCAAATAGATAAAATCAGTAACTACCGCTACCAAGTTGTTTCGTGCACAACTGTGGTTGAATCATATAAGCAATGCAAACAACTCAAGGAATTTCTGTACTTGTATCTTCTGCATTTCAAAGCTTCCAAAGGTCCACCACAAAACAGAAGTCACTGCCACTCTTACCTTCTACATCAAAACTGCCACATGATCTTGTTAATTGTACCATATCTTCATCCCAAAAATCTGTGAATGGATCTTCATCTAACCCAAGACCAGAAAATGTTGTTTTTTGTGAAGTATATTATCGGGGATCTCATCCAACAAGGTTTTCCAAAAACCAGTTTAATTCTTTAATGGATGGGGGCCTCGTAATTTTTTGCTTCAATGGTTTTCTGATTGATTTTTTTTTGCAATCGCGACTTGACCTTCCAAACATAGTGAACCATTACAAAAGGTTTGTGGTCGGGATCTTATGGCGATGGGATTTCTTATCTTATGGAGTTTCTCTTTTATATTTCCCGCATGAGAAGCTATCTACTCCGTATTTGAGTGTTCAAATAGTTTTTATTTTTTGGTAGAAATTAGAAATTCATTGTCAGGGCAAAAGTCAATAAAGTACACGGAAAGCCAAAAGCATGGCTAACAGAAAACACAAAAAACTACAACAACCATAGGAATGTTGAGGAGATCAAGGGTCCCAAACGCTACACCGGGTGTAAAAACGTCACCTCCCAACATTCCTGGAAAATTAACTAGGAGGACAAGGCGATTCCTAGTTGAGAACATGCACCAAAGAAGATGGAGGTCTCACAATCCGAGTGCCAGCATCCTATCTCCTAAAAAAATTGTGTCGCCAACTTATCCGCCTCCAAATTTGTTGTTCTTGGGATCCAAGACCAATGACAACCTTGAAAAAACTCTCCCAACATAATGACCCTCGCGATAATCAAGAAAACCTCTCAACTGCCAAGGTGAATAGAACTATTTGAAAAAGAGATTACTTCCTTTGAATCCAACTATTGAAAAGTAAATTGCTTACTAATTTCTTGTTAGTAAATGATTTACCTAGTAGATTTTCTATTTTGTCATTTTGTGAAACTGTTTTCTGTTGACATAGCTTGAGCTCATATGCCAAGTGTAGGACTTAGATCAGTTTTTATTTTCAATGGCTAACATGCCTTGTAATTGCCATGTGTCATAATCACAATGGCTTATGTATTTGAATGGTAATAACTGATGTAAGGAATGAATGAATATATGAAAGTGGAATGGTCCCCGGAAGTGGTCCCCCCTGGGCTGGGATGTGACAATTCATGTATTTACTATTTAGAAAAATATTTTCTACATACCACTGTATAAAACGTCGGGGGTCAATGAACTATAGGATCCTACTCCAAAAGCTTGCCTAGAACCTCTAAATTCTCAGGATTGGCCCTGACCTCAAACTTGAATTAAAAGTTCTAGATTTATTCATTTATTTTTTAAACAAATTATAGAGAGGAGGAATCAAAATTGAAACTTCTTCCAATATAAGAAATGTACTGCTCAATCAAGGGAAAACATAGTAAAAATTTAAAGATATTTGAGTAATTAAAATATGTTTGAGTAAATTTTTGATGTTTGAATAATTAGTATTACAACAAAAAGTGTACTTAAATTTTTTAGAATATTTTCATAAGAAAAGGCTATTGGTACTATTTATTTGAAAATTAATATTGTAGTGTAATAACGTCTAAGTAGTTCTACCATAAAAGTGTAATTTGATACCACTTAATACTATGGTCTAATGGTATTCCTCTTTACTTGTAAGTGAGAAATCTTAGGTTCGATTGTCATCGAAGGCGAAGTTGAACAACATTATTATGGCAAACTCATTGTAAGGTTTAGCCCCCTTTCACTTAGTGCAGATCGTTTGTTAAAAAAAAGAGTATAATCTGATATCCAGTTTGGAAAAAACAACTTGCTATTGTAATACCAACGCCATTATTTGTACTTTATTGTAACATTACGATAATTATATAACCTTAAGTGTAATTTTGAACGATTATGTTTTACCTTAAACGTTGAATGTTGGGTTATGGTGAACAGGATTAAGATGTTGTGTAATTTCATAGCATTCCCTAATAATATGTTAATTTAAACGTTGAATGTTATATCATGTTATAACACGATTACGATGTTGTGTAATTATAGTCCTGATTTATTGGGCAGAATGAGTTTGAGAAAGGGAAAATCGATGCGTGGCTGGTAAGAAATAGGAAGATTGTAAACTTGTTCCTTGTTTCCTATTTTTTCAAGTTTTGATGTTCTTGAAATATATTTTTATGTTTAGTCAATTTCTTTTCTATTTATAATTAAGCATGTAATTAATACTGAAGTCATCAAATTTATTTACGAATTGATATGACATATCAATTTTTGAATACTGAAATAAAATTATATATCCGCCTCATAGTAAGTTAAAAGTTGATTTAATAAGGCAAGTTTTTGGTTAACAAATTTGGTTACTAAATTCGGTATGCCTACAAAATATATATATATATATATATATATTTTTTTTGGACAAACCTACAAAAAATATTTAGTATAGAAATTAACTGAGAGTGACTCTTGTGAGAGCTTAAGTGAGTTGAAGCACCAAAGTCCAATTATTGGGCAATTAATGTTAGGTGTAGCGTCTAAAAGTTTCGTAGAGGTTTGGTAGAGAGAAAAATAGCGACCGGGCCTCGTTGTCTTGGCGGACGGTAGGAACAAATTAGAAGGCAAACACTTTTTTTTTGTTTTATTTGCAAGTACAAGCAAACAAACACTTCCAAAAGCAGCGAAAACATGCATTCAAAAAATCTCAAGCTGCAGGAATTTGGTGGTGGTGAAAGATGTGTGTTGTAATTAGTTACACGATTCTACATTCACGTTCGTACAAATGTGCTTTTGAATATTATATTATAGCTAGGGAATTTTGTGCCATAGAAAATGGACCTGGATCCTCTCCGAGGCAAACCATCGGGATCCTGTTGAGCAAGAAACACGGGCTGTTGGATTTCGATCTAACTATTACAAACAGAGGGATCTCTCTTAAAGTTATAATAATTGTAGCCGTTTGATTGAAATTCAACAGCCTGTGTTTGTTGCTCAGCAGTATCCCGAGTGTTTGCCTCGGAGAGGATCTGGTTCCATAGAAAATTGACTTCCCTTGTCATGCGGAAATGTTAGCTCTTTCAGTAATATAGATACATGCATACATACATATATATTTCAGAGGTTAGACTGGTAGCTAATATATGACTCCAGAAAAACTGTTGAAAAGCCTTAATGGTACCGCAAACACTCTCTATTTATGTATAGCCCGGTGGCTTTCTGGAGGCGTTGAAGTGGCTAGTAGGCAGGAGATAAGCTTCAGGATAGCTGCTAGCAGATAAGAGATGGAGGGATATAACGTTAACTTGAGTGTGATGAGAAAAGGTGCCTGGACTCGAGAGGAAGATGATCTTCTCAGGCAGAGCATTGAGATTCATGGAGAAGGAAAGTGGCACCAAGTTCCTTACAGAGCAGGTATATATGTTAATCTGTATATATAACTGAGAAAGATGGATATGCGCATTGATAGGAAAGCATTTCATTAGTATATTTCATTCTAAGACCTTCTGCCAATTGGTTTCAAGTTGAATGTTATGCTTTTATTAATGCTTTAGAACATGCTAACGCGTCTAACAGTTATACATGGCCCAAGTCGAGAGAGTTTATCCCACATCGGAAACTTCCTCATGAAAACACATTGCGGATTCTATGTATATTCAGGCTTAAACAGGTGCAGGAAGAGCTGCAGACTAAGATGGTTGAACTATCTAAAGCCAAATATCAAGAGAGGAGACTTTACAGAGGATGAAGTAGATCTTATAATTAGGCTTCACAAGCTTTTGGGAAACAGGTACTAATTAATAAATAAACATCGCTTTCAATTCGTATACTAGCTGAAGGACACTCCACATCGTCCTCATTATTGAACTTGTTGATACCCTTAATTAATCGAGCTTATGCTCTAAAAGACTCTTCAGTATGCTGGGAACACAGGCACATTCGTTATATGTCATTATACAAGTGAATGGACACTTGAAAAAAAAAAAAAAGTTTATCCACTTGTATAATAACATATGATGTATTGTCATGTGTTTTAGGCACATTAAAAATCTCTCCATGCTTTATTATTACTTTCATTACACAGTTTAATAAAAAAAATTGATGTGCATAATCAGTGAATAGACCTAACCAAACAAAGTAAACCAAAACCAATAATAACTCACAAAAAATGAACTTATAATAAGTTTACTCTTCATTTTTTTTTATATTATAATATTACACCTTAAAGGGGAATAATTGTTTTTGGGTTAAGCCAAACAATAAATAATTCGTAATAAATAAATATGAAACTCACTATCTTTGAAAATTGAACCTCAAACCTCATAATTACAAGTGAAAGAAAATATCAAGTGGTAGTAGTAATAAATCACTACTATAAAGCGCCATCTGCTAAATTAATTCCCCCCAACCCATATTGTTATCACGTTATGTATTAAATTAGTTCACTCCATTTAATTCTAAAGAAGAAAAATGTTAATGCAATCTAACATTTTGTTTTTTTTTTTTTTTTTTTTTTTTGCTTTGTTCCTCTTATTTTTCATCCGAAGTATTCATGACTTTTTTTTTTTTTTTCGTGTATGTACTCAGGTGGTCGTTGATTGCTGGAAGACTTCCAGGAAGAACAGCGAATGATGTGAAAAATTATTGGAACACTCGATTACGGATCAATTCTCGCATGAAAACATTGCAAAATAAATCCCAAGAAACGAGAAAGACCATTGTGATCAGACCTCAACCCCGAAGTTTCATAAAAAGTTCAAATTACTTGAGCAGTAAAGAACCAATTATAGACCGTATTCAATCAGAAGAGCATTTAAGTACGTCATCACAAACGTCGTCGTCGACAAACAATGGAAATGATTGGTGGAAGACCTTGTTAGAAGACGAGGATATACTTTTGAAAGAACTGCATGTCCCAGTCTTGAGTTAGAGGAAGAACTCTTCACAAGCTTTTGGATTGATGATATGCAACAGTCGGCAAGTTCATATGTTAATTTTCCTGACGAAGGACAAAGTAGAAGTGATTTCTCCTTTAACGTGGACCTTTGGAATCATTCAAAGAAGAATATCTAAAAAGATGATTCTCAATTCTTCAGTACCATTTTAGTTTGTATGCTATTATTTTCCTTGCTCTTACTATTTTAGTATTGTTGTATGATTGTAAAAAAATAAAAAAATAAATAAAAGCTCCCACCTTAATTATTAAACATCTGTAAAATATTGATATCTTTATTTGTAAAAATCACATCAAATAGATAAAATCAGTAACTACCGCCACCAAGTTGTTTCGTGTACAACTGTGGTTGAATCATATAAGCAATGCAAACAACTCAAGGAATTTCTGTACTTGTATCTTCTGCATTTCAAAGCTTCCAAAGGTCCACCACAAAACAGAAGTCACTGCCACTCTTACCTTCTACATCAAAACTGCCACGTGATCTTGTTAATTGTACCATATCTTCATCCCAAAAGTCTCTGAATGAATCTTCATCTAACCCAAAACCAGAAAATGTTGTTTTTGTGAAGTATATTGTCGGGGATCTCATCCAACAAGGTTTTCCAAAAACCAGTTTAATTCTTTAATGGACGGGGGCCTCGTAATTTTTTGCTTCAATGGTTTTCTGATTGATTTTGTTTTGCAATCGCCACTTGACCTTTCAAACATAGTGAACTATTACAAAGGTTTGTGGTCGGGATCTTATGGCGATGGGATTTCTTATCTTATGGAGTTTCTCTTTTATATTTCCCGCATGAGAAGCTATCTACTCCGTATTTGAGTGTTCAAATAGTTTTTATTTTTTATTTTTTGGTAGAAATTAGAAATTCATTGTTAGGGCAAAAGTCAATAAAGTACACGGAAAGCCAAAAGCATGGCTAACAGAAAACACAATAAACTACAACAACCATAGGAATGTTGTGGAGATCAAGGGTCCCAAACGCTACACTGGGTGTAAAAACGTCACCTCCCAACATTCCAGGAAAATTAACTAGGAGGACAAGGCAAGCCGTCCTAGTTGAGAACATGCACCAAAGAAGATGGAGGTCTCACAATCCGAGTGCCAGCATCCTATCTCCTGAAAAAATTGTGTCGCCAACTTATCCGCCTCCAAATTTGTTGTTCCTAGGATCCAAGACCAATGACAAGCCTTGAAAAAACTCTCCCAACATAATGACCCTCGCAATAATCAAGAAAACCTCTCAACTGCCAAGGTGAATAGAACTATTTGAAAAAGAGATTACTTCCTTTGAATCCAACTATTGAAAAGTAAATTGCTTACTAATTTCTTGTTAGTAAATGATTTACCTAGTGGATTTTTTATTTTTTCATTTTGTGAAACTGTTTTCTGTTGAGATAGCTTGAGCTCATATGCCAAGTGTAGGACTTAGATCAGTTTTTATTTTCAATGGCTAACATGCCTTGTAATTGCCATGTGTCATAATCACAATGGCTTATGTATTTGAATGGTAATAATTGATGTAAGGAATGAATGAATATATGAAAGTGGAGCATCATTCTGCAACGATTAGAATGTTGCAGCTGTGAAATATTATCTCTGACTCTCTCTTTAGCTTATTTTATTTCATTCTTTTTGCTCCTTTCGAAATCCAAGTGATCAGATCAATGATAAATTACTAAAATCTCAACATGGTATCACGAGCCCAGGTTCAATCTGGAATCGGGGCATCGGATCTGTGAGTGTTGTGCTCTGAAATCCAGCGTGAAATTTCTGACTCAGTTCATCGATTCAAGTCTCAAATGTCTGGGTCAGGTAGTAGTGATCTTCGGGCTTCAATATTCAATGGTGACAACTATGAATTTTGGAAGATCCGAATGAGAACTATTTTCAAATCACATGGAATCTGGGACTTAGTCAAAAAGGGTCTTGAAATTCCAAAATCGAACGGTAAGAAGGTTGAAGATGAAAGCTCATCAAATTCAGAGAAAGCTTCTCTAAGTGATAAGCTAATGAAGGATGCTAAGGTGCTGGGTATCATCTAAGGAGCTGTTTCGGAGGATATTTTTCCCAGAATCTCGAATGAGGAGACCTCAAAAGGCGCTTGGGATATTTTACACCAGGAATTTCATGGTGATAAACAAGTGAGATCCATCAAACTATTGGGTCTACACCAAGTTTTCGAGTACACGAGGATGAAGGATGATGAAACCTTGTATGTGTATCTCACTTGTCTTCTCGAGCAAGTGAATCAAATGAAAAGATATGGGGAAGATTTACCCAGGGAGCGTTTGGTTTAGAAATTGCTCATAAGCTTGACCAAAGAATTTGATCATGTTTGTTATGTGATCGAACAAACTAAGGACATTGAAACTATTGAGGTACAAAAGGTTATTGCTACATTGAGAGGATTTGTACAGCGCCTTGACAAGCATGCTGAGAGTACCACTGAGAGAGCTTTTAGTAGTATGAGTATGAATCCAAAGGGGACTCAGTCAAATGCCTCTTTTGGTAACTCTAAACCAAAGAAGAACGAGAAATCGAATGGAAAGAAATGGGACCCTAAACCTTAGAATCTTGCTAATCAAGGTGGCAAGTATGATCAAGGAGGAAAATCTGATCAGGCTAAGGGAAAATGCAAGCATTGTGATAAGCTACACTATGGTGAGTGTTGGTTTAAAAGGAAGCCAAAGTGCCGTGGATGCAATCGTTTTGGTCATCTCATCAAGGACTGTGATCAACCAAAAAAGGCTGGAAAGCTTGTAAACTTTGCAAATCAGGTAACAAAATCAGCAACTATGTTTTATGCTTGTCATTCTGCTACTATTGGAAAAAATATGAACATATGGTATGTAGACAGTGCATGTAGTAATCATATAACCTCTCATAAATCCTTGCTTATTGATGTTGATAAAAATGTGAAGTGTATAGTTAAAATGAGCACTGGAGATTTAGTACAGTCAATGGGCAAAGGTAACTTGGTTATTCAAATGAAGGTTGTGACTAGATATGTATTAAAGAGGTTATGATTGTACCTGGATTGGATGAGAATTTGTTGAGTGTAGGGCAGAGGGTAGAGCATGGTTATTGGCTTGTGTTTAGTGATTACATGGTTGATATCTATATATGGAGATAGACATATAGAAGATTTGATTGCAAGTGTTCCAATGAAAGGAAACAGATGTTTTCCCTTAAGTTTGGAATATGTCAATCCTCACATGGCTAATAGAGCAACTGTTGAAAAGTCATCTTGGTTATGGCATAGAAAATATGGACATCTAAACTACATCAGTTTGATGCTCCTGCAAGAGAATGAAATGGAAAGACTTGGAGGGCATCACAACCTCTAGATGTGCTATAGGGAAGGGTCACAGGGAACCATTTGACAAGGGAAAGACTTGGAGGGCATCACAACCTCTAGAACTTATTCACGCTGATATATGTGGTCCAATGCACTCTTGGAGGCAACAGATTCTTTCTCACATTTATTGATGATCACACTAGGATGTGTTGGGTATTATTCTTGTAGCACAAGTCTCAAGTCTTCAACATTTTCAAACAGTTCAAATCTGTGGTTAACCTACAGAATGGCTACCAAATTAAGAAACTTAGAAGTGATAGGGGTGGAGAATACACATCCCTAGAGTTTTCAAAGTTCTGTGAAGATATAGGGTTAGAAAGGCAATTGACTGTTGCCTACTAACTGCAGAAGCTGAGTATGTTAGTGCAGCTAAAGCAACTTCTCAGGCCATTTAGCTTAGGTTTGTGCTCGAGGACTTTGGAGAAGAGCAAGCTGCTGCAACTTCCCTATTCTGTGATAATACATCAGCTATAGCCATGTCTAAGAATCCGGTGTTGCATCAAAGGACCAAGAACATTGGCAGGAAGTTTCATTTCATTAGAGATGCAATTCAAGAGGGAGTGGTCGATTTGATTTACTGCAAGAGTGAAGAACATATTGTAGACATTTTTACCAAGGTTCTTCCCAAGGACAAATTCAACTATTTGAGAAGCTTGCTTGATGTGAAATTAGTTAGCAATTTAGAAGGGAGTGTTGAAAAGTAAATTGCTTACTAATTTCTTGTTAGTAAATGATTTACCTAGTAGATTTTCTATTTTGTCATTTTATGAAACTGTTTTCTATTGAGATAGCTTGAGCTCATATGCCAAGTGTAGGACTTAGATCAGTTTTCATTTTCAATGGCTCACATGCCTTGTTATTGCCATGTGTCATAATCACAATGGCTTACGTATTTGAATGGTGATGATAACTGATGTAGGAATGAATGAATATATGAAAGTGGAGCATCATTCTGCAACGGTTAGAATGTTGCAGCTGTGAAATATTCTCTTTGACTCTCTCTCTCTCTCTAGCTTCTTCTCTTTGCAGCCACAAAAGTGTTCACCGCGCAAGATATAAAGTCTGTAACCATATTTGGTAAAGGGGGCTTGAGATTTAAGATTGTTGAGTAGCTAGCCTTCCAAATATGCATAAGCAACATAGTGGAGCCAATTACCAAGGGTAGTGTTATTCCTAAAGATCCTGTAGTTCAGGGAACCACCAAACCATATGGGCACAACCCAAGGACACAAAAGAAACATGTGTTCCACAAATTCTTCCTCCTCGTTACATATAGGGCAAATTGGAGATGGGGAGGAATGCGGTTTGTAAAGAGCCAACTTGGTGGCCAGAGTGCCCCCAAAAGTCCTCCACATAAAATTTCTAACTTTTGGAGGAGCATGCAATTTCTAAATTTTTTTTTTCCACCCCACGCCACCAATCTGCCAAGACGAAAAGGGTTGACCCACTCCACCAGTCACCCCACAGTTTCGCTGAGCCGAGTGCACCGTGAACCTTCCCGTTTTATCCCATGGCCAAACCAGATGATATATACCCCGATGGTCACCGATGCCAGTCTCCAGAATCATATGCATCGAAATCCCAAGAAGAATTTTGGCAGATTAGTGACTGCACCATTTGATTTTGATTGATCAGCCCTCCCTCAAATGGGGTTGGATGCCCATCAGGAAGAGAAGGCAACCAACGATCAACGTACAACTTGATACTTTGTCCATTCATTACCTGCCAATGGGCATCTCCTGAAATAATATCTCGACCTTTTAGAAGGCTAGCCCACGCCCAAGATGCTCTGTGACCTCTCTTGGCCTCAATGAAAGATGTGGTAGGGAAATACTGAGCCTTCAAAAACGGCACCCAAAAGGACTTCGGTTCGTTAATAATCCGCCGACGCTGCTTAGCAAGGAGGGCTAAATTGAAATCCTGGATAGGTCTTAAACCTAAACCAAACAACCCCCCCCCCCCAATCACACTTCGGAAGGCCCAGCTTATTCCAACCAACCCAATGAATCTTGCGTTCGTCCTCCTTTTGACGCCACCAGAACTGAGCAAGCATAGAGTCTAGATCTTTACAAATTATATATATACTAAACGCCTAACTTTTCAATTAATTCCCTTTGTGTCCTTTTTACTGTTCATTCGCCAGTGTTCTTCCAATTTTACCCTTCAGTTGCTCTTCAAATCTTGCTTTTTTGGTCTTTTACACAGTAAAATGACGATTTTGGCCCTCTACGTCCAATACAAGTCTCTCGACTCCTGCCTCAGAAACACAAGTGGCTCTTCACGAGACTTCTTTCTACAGTAATGATTCTATCACCTGGCATGCTTAGCATAGTGACGCGTGTTGAGCGGGACGCGTGTCACTTTACTCATCTCCTCTTTCTCTGCTTTTGCTTCCGCCTTATCGTTGAAAACCAATGCATCTGGTGTCGGTTCGAATATAATTTCAAGCCCAGAAAATGTATGGTTTTCTGGTCTCCAACCGATCTTGAGGAAATGGTATGCTATCGAATCTAATTGACGATTTTTTGTATGATTGTTTGTTTTTGAGATTGGGATTTGGGATTTGGAATGTTCGGGTTTTGGGATTAATTTGTTTGGTTTTTGTGTGGATACAACTCGGCAACGACAGGTTGATCACATCCTGAGTTTTCCGACTGATTTATTCAATTCTACCGGTTCTGATTTTTTTCCCTCCATAGTTTCTCCAGCACCATCTGCCTTGCTCTCATCACAACTTCTTTCAGTTCCTCAGGTAAAGTTTCCACCTTTTTTTCTTCAGCAAAATAACAAAGGATTCCAAATTTATTGAACAAATTAGTGATTTTCTGTTGAGTTTTTTCTTCAAAATTTTAATTTTAATTTTTTTAATGGGAATAGGTGGAATGGTAAATGTGAGTTTCTCTTACCGTTCTTCAGAGGGAAGAGCTTGAGAGACAGTGGACTCTTCTGCTATTCCTCCCCAATCACTTTTACCAATCTGCACAACCCAAATTGAGAGATGGTGCTCTTCCCTGAGGTATGAAAAAGCTTCGAATTAATTTGAGTTGTGCAGAGGAAGCGAATAATTATTTGAATTCATTAATTTCGCTGGGGTTGTGCATATTTCCTTTGAATTAATTTAGGTTGTGTTTGAGCATTGTACAGGCATGAACGCGGGTAGAGAGTATGAGGATAAAGGAAAGAGAAGATGCTGTGATCATCCAGCTTTATCGGTTTGTTAAGGCACTTTTCGTACTTTTTGTCTGTTTAAAATTATATGCTTTTCGTCTTTAGGAAGAATTTCATTAAGGATTTTCCATGAATTTCTGAGAATTCCATTTTATCCAAGCTATGGGCGTTGAAATGTCAGTACCTTTTTATTCAAATTTTTCTTTATTTGAATATTATGTGTTTAGAAGTGTAAATTTGCACAATTGAATTTTAGTAAATTTTTCATAGTCTAATTGAAACAAACCAAATTAATTCCCCATTGTGATTTAATATAATTGAATGTTAATAATTTTTCATGCTTTTGTAAAAGATTTCGTCTAAATTTCAGATTTTTGGAGGATCCGTCATTAAACTTATGGGTTTTTTTTGATATTTTTATCTGAGATTTAGTATTTTTTTTTCTTCTAGATTTTGTAGAGTACTTCGATTAAATTTGTGAGTTTGGTAGTTGTATTTTTTCTGTGCATTTTTAGTGAACTTGGTTGTGGGTTTTGATGTTTGTCTGCAGCAGGGAAAGGGAAGAAGATCGTTCCATGCCCTCCACCAGTTCCAGATTCTCATTGTGCCTGGCCACCTAGCGAACCAAGTGGTCTTTCAGAACCTGCAGGAGATGATCAAAGCCAGATGGTATAGTTTTTTGTATTTTTTGCTATTGCTGTATGTAAATGACCAAATCGAATGCCTTTGAGCTCCTTACAAATTCACTTTCCTGACTTATTTTTCTTATGAAACTCTGTCCAACCATATTTTCTTATATGGTTAAAGTTGGTGGCAGAATTCTTAAGGAGATCTTCCACAAGCAGTAAGCTTAACATTAAAGGATCAATCTTCTTCATTATCTTTATCGGAGCAATACATCTTTAATGCATGTGTACATTAAAGGATCATTCTTTTAATTTTCTCTTTTTTCTTTACTGAAAAAATCCCTAATTTGGTTGTTTTTTGTTTGAAAAGAGTAACGGCGTCCAAGAATGATTTGGAGCTAGGAAAAAATCCCTAATTTTCTCTGCTTCTTGAGATCGACATGGCTTCCTTGACTATTTTCACCGAGGTTTCTCGCTTCAAATTGGTATGTTCTATAGATCCGTTCAAATTCGTATGAAAAAGTAGTGAATTATTTTGTTTGTAGGTTTTTTCAAATGGATTTTTTTGTGTGGGATTTATTTGAATATTTTGGGTTTGTTGGGTTTTGCTGCCTTGACCTTGCTCATGAGTGGTCATGTAAGGTTATTAAAACTTTCTAGATTTTTGGGTTTTGCTGTAATGAATTAAAGATTTGATAAAGACATTATTTATTTTGTGGAATTCCTTTTAAACATTAGAATTTGTTTTGTCTCACATTTGATGATTTGGGTGTTGAGCAGCAATGCTTTGATGATAATCTCTTTATAAAAAGGAGCCATTAGAATATTTGAGGCTAAGCTTAATACTAATCAATGTAGCTTCAAAGTATTTTATTTTCAGTCTTCAAATTAAGACTAAAGATTTAACATCATGCAATATAGTTTCAATTGTTAAAGATAGTAGATTGAGGTTCTTTGAATCATGGTGGTATTGGTTTTTGGCATTGAATTTTAGTTTTGAATGTGACTTTTATGAAAGAGAATAAAACCATCCATTCCATCATTAATAATTTATATCAAACTTGCCATTTCATAAGACTCAAACCTCAGAATTGTATGAAAAAGGATAAAACTGTAGCATACCATTTTATTTATGTTTGATTACATTGGTTATTATTACTAATAGTTACGTTTTGTGCATATTGTAGCTTTCATTTTAACTTCCCTAAACTTTCTTCGACTTTCCCTTTCTTACAGGGTTTTATTTAAGACAAACTTATACATCCTAACGCAAAGGGAGAGAGTAGGCAAATGCTGGCATTGTTGATATTGTAAGTGAGTTTGAAAATAGGATTTCTAATAGTTTGCTAGCCGTAAAGTTATTTCTTCGTCTCCCATAAGGTTCAACTTTTTATATACACATTCACGCTTTCTCCATTTCTCTTTTCAACTACTGAATCAAAGAGATATTGTATGTCTACTAAATTCAGAAAATCAATAATGTTTTACACAATTCTTTCAAACGGTTAATTGTTGTGCTATATCAAATTAGTCGCAGAGTTGAAGATAGAAAATTTAATCGTGTCAGTAATTCATGGTGTTCAATTTTCATGCTTTGCCATTCTTATCCACTTTATTACTTCTTTTGATGTAATCTGAATTATATTTTTTTTCATCTTCATCAGGCACTTCTCTTTGGAAAGAAGCATGTTTGGCATTCAATCCACCATTTAAATGGGAAAGAGGAAGTTCCCCGTCACATGGTTAGAGCCGTAGAGGTAAATGATTCTTTTTCTTGGATCAAGTTTTTGGAACTTTACCTTATGTCTAATGGCTTTTGTTGCTGTTTGTTTGCGTTAACTAATATTTTTGAATCCCTGGTAGTATTTTTATATTCTTTTGAAAAGAGAATGTTATTTCATCCTGTGTTTTTTTCCATGCTTTGTTAATTGTTAGCTATTCTTTGCTCACTAAAATAAGCCACCGTAATTAATTAAGGTCTCTTGCTGCTGTTTTTGTGATAATATTACCATCTTTATTTCCTCTTCTTTTTTTTTTTTCATTACACTTTGACTTCATGTTACTTTTTACAATTGGTCCTTACTTGACTGAGCCATAGTAAATTGTCCATAATTCACCTATATACACTCTCGATTTTGATGATTACTCAAATGAAATTTGTGATTAGTTTTATTGAATTGTTTTTATTTAATTTAATCTGTATTTTTTTTTTAAATATGCAGGGGGAGTTGAAAGTCAAGAGGAGGGGTTAAGCACGTATTAAGTTTTTGTATCTCAATCTAATCGTTTGATTTCAAATGCTGATTGTCTTTCTCTTTTCCTTTTCCTTTTGTTTATAAAGAATCAAACTGTTTCAGTTGCTAACAGTGTGGATCAAGTTGTGGTAAAAAGGTCCTCCGCTTATATGATGATTTAATATATGAACAATTTAGATCATCCGTTAATTGACATTTCAATTGAATTTTACTTTCATATAATTTGCTTCACATAATGTAAAAACTATTTTAATGGTTTCAATAGGATGATATAGAACAACCATATTCATTTTCTTGACTTTTTTTTTGGCAGCTCATGAAATACTTTTCTCGAGCCTTGGACCAATAAGAAAGTAAAGCACAGAAGTTCTATATTACATGTTAGTTTTAATCCATTACTAAATTTTTTTTGTTTTTTTTTTTTTTTCAGGAAATAAACTTTATTAAGATAAAGAGGACTGAACAACAACATGAAAAGCTGAGAATGAACAGTCGAATACCGAGTAAATTCCACTGCTACCACCCAACAAATTCAGGTGCTGAAATTTCAATTAGTGTTCTTCAGGTAGGTAAAGTTGCTATCTTTCTATACAAGATGTTGAATTTTTTATTTGCGTTTTTTTTTTTCTTTTCGTTGGAAATATTGGTATTTCTGTTAGTTGTTGATGGGTAGCTTGAATTTTGTTCAAGTCGTAGTAATTTCCGTACAAGTTTACATTTTTGTGTGGAATTTGTGCAACTTTTGGTGTTTGTGTGGTGTTATTTTGATTGGTTGTTGGCCTTTGATTTTGTTATGGTGAAAATGTTTCCCTCTCTTTGCTTGATAAAATCATGTGTTTTGGATTATGGTGCTGATTTTGGTTCTTATCTATGACTGTTGGTGATGTAACATTATCGGCTTTAGGTAGTAGGTTATGTATTCTTAAAAGATAACCGAGTACATCCTAATAGCTGCATCCCTGGGTTTGTGATTTTGTTGCTCGATTACTGAGGTTTATTTTTCGGTGCTCTCTGCTTGGTTCTCACATTTGAGTCATTTCATCAAATCATTATATAGATTTCCACTTGAAATTTTAGCTTTGGAATAGTTAGGTGGCGATCTCTGCTTGACTTTGTCGATTGAGTCACATCACCTAATCATTGGAGACTTCTTTTCCTTTGATTGGAAAAATCATTGGAGAGTAGTATTTCCTATTAAAATTAACTTTGGAATGTAGTGCTGCTCTGTATTTGTAAAGGTGAAAACTGACGAGTGCCAAGTATGATTGTGTAAACTTCGATAAGTTTTAGAGTTTTATCATACCACATATCAAATGAGCAATATGTGCGGGCGAATTTATTATGTTAGAAGCTTAAAATTTTCCATTCCAGCCTAATTGAATTTTCTTCTATTTTGAATTCGATATAAATGCATTAAGGCCACTCCAGTTTCATGTGTGTCGTCTAAATTATTATTATTATTGTTACGACTTTCTACATGATTTAGCTATATTCTAATTTCTAGCTTTTAAATTTAATATACTATCGTAACTAAATTTATGTTACGTGTTGGTAGCCCCATTGACATATATAACTCCATTTGCCTTCTCCATAACAGGCCTTGGACATTGGTAAAGAACAAATGATTGATTTGCTGAGAAAGTATGAATCACTAGAACTAAATACATGAGCCTTAGAGTGTTGTAATATATTGTACAAACATGTATCATAAAGATGTAAATATGTTTTGATATAGAAGTAAATATATTTTAATATATTTTATATGTTTAACATTGTTTTAGACCCGCAGCATCGCGCGGGCTAAGTTTCTTGTGGAAACTGGGAATTTAAGTAGGGATTGCTTGAGCCACCGCTATACTAAGTACTCCTTTTCTAGCCGGGGAGAGAAGGTTCTGCTTCCAGCCTTGGAGCTTTCCAAGACCCTACTTTTAACATACGCTAGTGCATGACGTTTTGGTCTGCCCCAATTAGATGGAATTTCGAGGTATAGGCCCGGATCATTAACCTGCCACATTCCAAGAATATCTGTCAGCCTCTTCCCCAGCCGCAGGGCGTCAGATTAATTTCTCCTCTCTTTTTTACCAACTTTGTCTGTTCGACCTCCTGCTTGCATGTCTATATTCCAAACACTAGTTTCACCGCACCCCTCTCATAACCACAAATTTTCTTCTACGAATAATGGTTGAATCCAATTTTTTGGATCAATAACTTGACACAATTATTTGTTTACATAAGTAAATATTGTATGAAAATAACTCTCGCATCCCAAATGATTGATACCAGTACCTGGGAGGATAAAACACATAAAAATCGATCACTCTATTTTCACATCTTTATGAACAAAAGGATTGAATTACCCAGAACACCAAATCCAATTATATACATGGAGAGAGAGGGAGAGAGAGAGAGAGCAATTGCAATCTACAATCTACAGACCCCTAGAACTAGGAACATCAATCCACTGCAACTGGAGTTCAATCTCCCCACACTCCACATTTCTGAGTCTGAGGATCATGTTTTGGACGAGTTTGCCGTTGGACCAGATGATGCAGCTCTCTTCAGCAAGACAGTTCTCCCTGCTTGGTTGTACTTTTGTAATTACGGTTCCATCTGGGAGGCCTTCCGATCGCATCCTCAAGACTTCGACAAATTGTGCAATATTAAAGTGTGCGTCCCCCATTTTGTCATCAAAACTAAATGTGTCTTTATCGTACACAAAAAGCGTGATCGGAAGATTTGGTTCTGTAACGGAAAGTGTCAATCTTTCATCCCATTCTGGATTCACATTCCTCTTCACCACACGAGTTTTCAGTTTCTGCATCATCAAAAAATAGGTTTAAGCTATCAAGTAATATGAGTTTAGCCAAGTTGACTAATAGCGTGATCCACCCTCTATACACCAAGTCCAAATTCCCCCACCCCGCGTAGTTCTAATATGTCATCTAAAACCTAAATTTCAGAACGTATAACCAAAACCCACAAACCCAAATGGATCAGGAACTGCATCAAAACAAGGAAAAAATAAACACAAAAGTAGTTAGTAAATTGAAGGAAGCTAGCCAGATTGAAATATTACCTGTTTGCCCATTTTAACAACAACATAAGGATCACTGCTTTTCATGTCTCGAACAGCAAGGTTCACTCCTCTTTGGACGTGAATTCTCAGCAGACCCATCATGTCCTCCATTCGATCAACACCAGATTTTTTATTTAATTTTTTTCCACAAATCCAACTAGTACCAAAAATGGCAGGAGTAGGAAGGTATACGCAGGAGAGGAGGGTGAGAAATTTGGTTTTCTTTGTATTCAAGTAGTTGAAGGAATTTTTTATGCCAAACCACTGCAATTCTGCCTTTTATACACAAAACTGTCTGAAGAATCAAAGACTTTTTATTTATTTCAAATTTGATGGTCGCTTTTGAAGACAGTACTTTATGCTTTAGCCACGACTAGAAGCCAGCCACCCAATATCCTGTGCCTTTATTTTTCAACATGTGACGTTACAAAATCAACCCAACCAATAATAGTCACGCGCACTCTCAACAAAAATATAAAAAAAATAAAACAATAGTCACGCGGACCTAGACTTTTCCTCCTTTCTTACAATTTTTATTGTATAAAAAATATTAAGGCTTCAAACTTGTTAAGAATTGTCAATTTCCTCATTTCTTACAATTTTTATTGTATAAAGTATAAACAATCTAAAGTTCTACAGTCTACAGAACTACAAGAAATGTAAATACAAACTTAGTGGTTTCTTAACCATCGTATAATTATGATTATACGGTATTACAGTTGGTGATTTTAGTTAAATTTAAATAATTTTTTAAAGTGACGGGAATGCACACCTCAACAGTGCAAGTAGTGTTCTCTTCCAATTCAATGACGCCATCTGCCCCACTAAGGCCAAAATAGTTTTATCTTTTATAGAATAATCAATAAATGAATTTTTTATTTTTTAAAATAAGCCTCATTCTCGAGGCCCTTCCCCAACCTTCGAATTATGACCCTCTAATTCCTCTTTGCCCCCGACAACCACCATCGTCGCCTGGGGTTTTGCCTTACCATGACCTCAGTCCCCTTATCATCCCACCTTTCTCCTGGTGATCAAGAACTGGCGTCTTTAAATCATGATGATGAAGCAACATGATAGAAGAAGATGATGGTGCCAAATTGAGATTTTAGTTGTGTGATGGAGGCTAGAGCTTCTGTGGGTGTTCATGGTGGTCGGCGTGACGTGGTTGTTGGGTGGAGGACAGACATTTTGGCGCAAGTGCCAGTGACCCTTTGTCAAAAAATGCTTGGTTTCTAGTTGCAATATCGAGACAGCGAAGGGAGATGGAAGAGAGAGGGCACCGGTGCTATATTAATTAAAGGCTAAATTGAATTAATGGTCCCGTGATGAAAAAATTCAGATTTAAGCCCAAAATTAACATCTTCCTCGTCTGTCTGTTAACTCATTCAACATTCATAATCAAAAGAGAAAAAAACTCATTCATCCAACGCTATGAATTCATTGATTCATGCTTCGATTCCATTCAAATACTGAAAAACGAAATATTGGGTTGTGAAAACTAACTTACAGATTAAGGATGGTGTGGTTGGAGCCTCTCTGCAATAAAAGAAGCTTCAGGATTTGTAAAAATAAGAAAGAACCGCAAATTGGGTTGTAAATATAAACTTACTCAAACTTTACAAAATCTGAAGGTTAATAAATTACAATGGATTGGAGCCAAAAGCTTGAAACTTCACAACCCAGATCAAATCTCAACCGCATATGCCACATGAGCGTGAAAGCAAGCTCCTTTTTCTAGTTTTACCGTAAAGAAAGCTCCTTTTTTTTCTTCTGGGTATCCTACTTAGAGAAAGAGCTGAAATTTAAAAACTCGTTCGGATTGAATTAACCTAGAGAACACAAAAAGTGACATTGCTTTGGACCAAAAAATTTAAAATCCAATGAAATCTTTGGGCGAAGGGTGGGATTGTTAATTTTGAGTTAACAAAGAGTTCACATAAATGTTAATTTTGGATTTAAATCCTAACGGAGTTCACCACAAGGATTTAAATCCGAATTTTTTCATCACGGGGCTATCTTCCGATTACCCTCTTATCACGAGAATCATTAATTCAATTTAGCCTTAATTAAATATTATTTTTTAATTGCTTTAACGATGGACCAGATTGTTGGTGTAAATTACAACTTAAATGCACATATGTCAAGACCTTGTTGGTGGAACTCCAAATCAACAAGAGTTTCGGTACCTCGAAAAATGGGAGGAATGATGGTGACATGTAGGTCGAAAACATCCTTTGATATATGAGTCTTTGGGTCTTTTCATCTAGAATAAACTTTTCTACGACCATTGAATAAGTTTATAATTTGGAAACGAAAATTAAAATCAATGTTGAAACTTGAAATCGACCGTTGCTTTAGCTGCAAGCATTACAAGAATACGTACTGTTAATCGAAGGATAACATGCAACGATATTATAAGTTACTTAATATTCCTATATAATGATATTTTTATTCATTTGTAAAAATAAAATTTAGGTTTGCTTTCCATGAATCATGAATTCAATACCATTTCATTATAGAATTAAATTGGAATAGATAGCTCACCATATCAAAAATATGTGATATGAAAAGAAAAAAAAAAAAGAATTATGTCCAATCTAAAGGTCGGATATTCACACACAAATCACATGCGAAAACATAAGATTTTATTATTCAGCAATAATGCTTATGTCCAGTACAATAAGGTGGGCTGCTTTTCTTTTTTCTTTTTCAATTTTTTTTAGAAATGGGAAAGGAAACTGTATCTTTGTGTAGATTGCGAAGTTGTTCCAAACAATAAGATACGAATTATAAAATCATTCCATACCAAAACAGATTAGGAAAGGAATACAACTCCCATTATAATTCTAATATTATTGTCATGCAGATGATTAAATTTATTTTGAAGGACTTGGTTGGTATTTGCTCGTATGCTTCTAGTAGTTCTATCAAATTATGACTCTTATGTGCTGTTTTGCAATTATTATTCGTTTTTTTTTTTTTGCGGTTGAACTGTTCAAGACTGAAGTGTCTCCAAATTCACCCGTTCATTTACAAATACTTATTGGTTAGATACGGGAGGTTCTATGATAGCTTGATCTCAATTCGTAGTGGTTGTCGAGATTAAGATTTGTAATTTAATTTACGTTTTTAGTTGCTTGAATATAGATTATGCTAAATTTTGATAATTGAGCATATAACAGTAGTTGCAATGCGGTTAAGATTGTTGACCAACCATTGTGTTTAGGTCATATTTTTGGTTTTTTTAAGAGCGTAATTTAAAAAATGACTAATGCTACACTTATCACATATTTATACTATGATTTGTACCACTTTTTCTCATAGAGTTAGAGTTCACCAACACATATGATTCTCATC